CTCCCCTCTCTACATTGTCTGTCTCTAAAAATGATCTCCCCTCTCTACATCGACTCTCCTTGCAAAGACATATCAAAGTATGAGACTGGCCGTACCAATTTGGCATAACTTTTTTTGAAGAGAGGATAATTTTTAAATAAAGATAAGGACAATCTTTGAAGATGGTGAACTTCTCTGCAACTTTGAGTTTTAGAGAGAGGTGGAGTTGAGATAGAGATGATGATTTGAGAGAGACAAAACATTAACGAAAAGAATTTTTTTAGAGAGAGTGCCATTTTAGTGTTTCTTTGGAAAAAAAATGTCATTTTAGTATTTATTTAGGTAAAAAATTCATGGTCACAAAGTCCAAGGGGTCATACAATATAAAAGATGAAGGTCTTTTCCTTATAAAATAATATTTTCAATTCTTGGGTCTCATGAGATATAGAAGTAAAAAATAAGAGATAATTTTTTTTTTTCCCTTATATTATTTATTCCAAAACCTTGGCCATTGCTAAATTCTTATTCTAATAAATTATTTGTTATAAAAATTTAGTTGTTGCTTGACCATATTTAGCTGACTAAGCCACCAAGATGTTTCAAATGATCCCTAATCCTAGCACAAAAGCTTGTTGAGCTTGGATTGCCTAGGGACCTTCCATAAAAAAAAATCATATTTTGGTATTTTTAAATTTTTTTTGTGAAATTTTGAAATTTAAGAGAATTTATTTGGTCTAAAATCACCTCAGAATTACTAGAATTTAATTTATAAAGTTTAATTGCCTTGAGTTCTTTAACTGCTTGATTTGACCGTCCACCAAAATATGGATTATCACTGTTTACTTTTTGTATAGGATTTTTCTAAAGACCCAGTGGCCAAGATTGCATATATAGAAATGCAGATCTCTTAATAAATCTATTTTTGAGATGGATTTTTGGGCTTAATTTTTAAAAATATGTAATCTCTAACATGGAGATCATGGATATGAAAAAAAAAAAATTCAAAAACTAAAAACCATAATCCTAATAAGAAAACATTTGGACCGTTAGTTTCTATTGTTTTTACTATTGTTTTTAGATGAAACACTCGCTTGAATCCATCTTTAAGATGAATGCTTTACTTTTTTTAGACCACCTCATGTAGTCCAACCCGTATGAAACAAATTTCTTTTTTTCTAATATTTTTAGATATAGGGATTTACCTTTTTTTGCTTTCTTTTAAAGACGGGGATTCTCTAAGGTGTAAACCTTAAACAATCAAAATAAAACACACCTGTAGAAGTTTTGCCCTCTCATCATAGTGTAAAAATTTATTTTTACACCTAATTATAAAATTTAAAGCTTCAAATATTATGTAGATGAGCATATCAATAAACATTGAAAAATAATACATTACAAGATGCATTATTTTTAAAACTTGAAATTCTTGTTTCTGTTTCTATAAATCACGAGATTGAGATGATCAATTATATGATTCTCAATCATCGGACCAACATGTTAAGGTGGATTTTAAAAATGCTCCTTACTTTTACAATACAATATTCATGCCTCCTATAAACCTTTTTCTTTCTTTAAGAAGCAATTATCACGTATAACCAATCTACTATATTTAGCTGTAAATTGTTTCCTAAGTAAATCCAATTTCATCATTCACTTATATATCAAAGCCAAGCCTAGAACTAACCCAAGCCAAGCGTAAAACGAACGCCACTGTATTTAACTGTGCTCCCGCGGGACCAATAATCTATTAAATTATTTGGTGGCGATGAGGTCATACATGACGCAGAGAGATATCACAACCTTCGGATCGGAGGCAGTTTTTTTTTTCTATCTTTTTGGGAATATAAACACGCGTGCGGGCCCTTTGAGGTTTGAGCACATATCCTTGTCCTATAAAAAGTAGCAGGCGTAAACGCGTAGACTGTAACCTCACTCTCTTCTCGTCTCTTGGACCTTGATTTTGGGGGCCCATTTCTGTCTGCCGCTTTTACAGGTATTATTGTGATAGCTTTTGGCTACTGCAAATTTTGCAAGACTTCGATGCTGCATTTTAATGCTAGTTTCTTGTTACTTCGCATTAGACTTTGATTCAAAGTTAAAAGTTTTTGGGTTATCTGTTCTGTTTGTGATTTTATGGCATTTTCGGAGGTTTATATGTGAAGGGTGTGGTTTGTATAAGGCTGAGGCCCTCAATAAAAGTAAGAAGCACCTTCAAATAGTGTCGAAAGATGTTAATTCGGATATGAAAATCTTTGTAATGGCTTGAAAATTTATTTTCATATCTGATTATAAAATTTGAAGCTTCAAAAACAGTGTACATCGAGTATATCTATAAATGCTTGAGAATCCTTAAAATTGACGGCTTAAAAAATGCATTACAAGATGCATTATTTCCAAGAGTTAAAATCCATTTTTTATCTTGAGGTCGAGATGATCTATTTGAAGTTTTTTTGGTCATCGAAACAACCACTTCTAGTGAATTTTTGAGGTGCGCCTTAGTTGGATTGTTTATGGCCTTACCTTTAGATAAACTGTTTCCATATGCTAATGGATTGTGTCCGACTATTTTAATAGATATTTGTAATTTTCTAGTTGGGGTTTCGTGTTACATCTATTGGCAATTTTTTAGCAGTTGCAGAACTTCAATGCTGTATTTTAATGGATGTCTCATGTTCTTGACGCATTAGGGTTTGATTCATAATGCGTTGTATAAATTTCTAAGTTATGTTTCGTTTAGTTTCGATTATATGTTTCCTTTGCAGATGGAGAGATTTATTTATATGTTTTATTAATAGGAGTGTATAGTACGAGAATATTTATTTCAAGTACAAAGAGCTCACAATCATTTTTTAGCATGAAAACCAATGGATAAGAGTTTGTTACAACATTCGAGAAATTTTATTTTGGACTTTTTACCTAAACAACTACACATCCTTAACGAAATAATCCTCAATGATGATTGTGACCTCCTTACATCAAAAGAAAATGGTATCATTGTATATATTTCCAAGGCAGCTCACAAAACACCAAAAAAGACATAAGCTATATATCATCATCATTATTTTAGCCTTTTCCCAATTCATTCGGATTAGCTATATGAATCATCATCCTCCATTTTAGACATAAGCTATATATATTTTTGAAAAAGGTAAAACATGCAAAAAAGACTTAAAAAACACCAGTATATTAGTTAGAAATATGCTTTTAGATGATTTGATAGTTTCTAAGTTGCTTTGGGAACTATTACATTTTTCTCTTTTTTTTAAAATTTGTAAATATGTAAGGTAGAAGTAAATTTTTTTAATAATTAATATTTTATAGATATATCTTCTTCTTTAGTCTTGGAATCATTGTTATCAGCGCTTTTTAATTTTTTCTGATTTTAACTGTTTTTTCACAAATTTTTTTTATCTTTTTAGACCTTTTATTTTTATTTTTTTTGTGGTGTACATAAATCTCGGCCGAGTTATTCGCTTGGGCCAAGGGCTGAGTACCTTTGCCGAGGCAAGCTCTAAAACATTGCTTCTATGTAAAGTGGATAATGTGATGTTTTTTATTTGAGTTTCATTTTGTGTGGGTTATAAGAATTTCCTGCCATTGCAGAACTCCACTGCTGCATTATAGTGGATAGTCTCATGTTGTTTACACATTACGCTATGATTCACAGTGAAATGTTTGAGTTGTCGAAATTGGGATTCCTTAGTTATGTGATTTTTCTCTGCTGTTGCAGAGCTTCAGTGCAATATTTTAAAGGCTGCTGTCATGTTCTCTTCACACTAGGTTTTGATTCACAATGAATTGTGAAAATTTTCTAATATGGGTTTCGTTTAGCATCTATTACTTGATTTATTTATTATTTTTGAGTTTTAAGGTTTGATTCCAGTGGATTATATGTTGCTTTAATTTGGCTTTTGATTCCCTTAGGACCAAATAAATGGCCATGAAGACCTTTGATGCTCCTCTTTTCTTTGAACGGAAAACTGGAGCAAAGATTCCATCAGTTGGATTGGGAACTTGGCAGGCACCGCCCGGTGTTGTTGGTGATGCAGTCACTGCAGCTGTTAAGGTATTTCTTCTTCGTCTTCCTTTTCCCAGTTTTATTATTTTGCTGGTCTTTTTTTTGTTTTGACTGGTTGGATTTTTACAATTTATAACAATAATTGTTGGCCAAAAAGAGTTTCCTTTTTTATGAATTCAAATAAAATTTGTGTTTAATGCATACATTTCAATGAAGTTTCAATCAACTGTTTTGTTCTGTTTTTCTTTCTTGATTTCAATTTTTGTCATGTTCAATGAAATATTTACTTGTTGCTGACCAATTTGGGGGAAAATTTATTCAAAATACAATTGTGTGCCCTTGAAATTGAGGATTAAAAGAAAAAGAACAAAAAAAGGGAGTGGTAATCCTTGAATTAGAGCCACTCTTCAAAATTCTCATAACATGAATTTTGAAAATTCGGCTAGACTGTTTCTCAATGTTCTGGAATCTCAAATTTCAGCCCTTGTATTTGATTTGTGTTTGGTCATTCACTAAAAATCAAACTTGATGAGGTGTTATTTTGCTATCAAATACTTTGTAATCTTCAACATTTTGTGTTAGTGATGATTCCCTCTGGAGAAGGAAATAAACCATGGGAGTGAGAACCATATTAGAATTTTACCTATTTATTTGCCACTACAAAACAAATTGCAACTGGAAGCGAAGGTCTAATCTAGGAACTTAATCCAATAAACAAATTGCAACTGGAAGCGAAGGTCTAATCGAGGAACTTAATCCAATATATATATATATATATATATATATATATATATAGTAGGAAAAGACTCGTACGTCACGACCGAAGACGGTACTGCTAACGAACGTAACGACCGACCGGACCTAGTATACT